ATTTGAAATTTTCACAAAAGTACAATATCATTTTGAAAGTTTGTGTGCTGGAACTTTATTTGTAGAGTGTCATTATCCTTTAGTTAAAATTTCAACTTTACACCTTATGGAGATAACAAAAATAGCATTTGTCTTGTAGTAATATTTACAAAATTGCCCCATAAAAATAACTTTTTTAAAAAATAGACTACAAAATTAATAAATTCACCCGTCATAACTCTCTCTATCTTGAACCTTTGTAATTAGAAGGGTTGTGAAGTTTAGATTATCTCATATATATATATATATATAGAGGGAAACTTTTATGTTCCCCCTACAACATAGAAGTTCTATCCTCCTCATACCATCTAGCGCTCTATTTTTTATCAAGAGAGTCACTAATCGTTTGATCTTAGATCCGACGTCTCAAAGTATTTTATTTTTAGTTTCTTTAATACAATTTTTTTTAATATGAAATTGTTACGTTCCATCTCTTGTTGGGGCACACTTATAAAAAATGTTAACACTAATTTTTCGATAAAAAATAATGACCAAGATACCTCTTGAAGCTTTCAAGGGTATTTTGGTCATTTTATTTTACTGAAAATATTTTTTTATATTTTTTGTTAGTGCGAGTTTAATAGAGGAATGGATGTTCCAAATTTTGGTGTCAAAACAGTTTATTTAAAATTAAAAAAAGTTGAAAATAAACCAGTGTAGAGACATAATATTGTGATTGGGGCATTCTTAGCCATCCATTAAAAAATGGACGGTTGGATAAGGGGAGGATAGAACTTCTATGTTGTAGGGGGGAATATATATATATATATATATCACTATTAAACGAAATGAGTAATAGATGCAACCCAACAATCTCGTAATCAATGATTAGGATGAAGACGGTGTGAAAACAACGCATATATCTGGTCTTCACTCTTTTTCCACTTAATTTTTTTTAAATATCTAACTCGTTTTTCTTTTTCTTTTTTTGACAAATGTTACTATTTTTATTTAATATTAAAGAAATAAAATTACATCATCATAAGTGATAAAAAAGGTAAAAATGAATCACCCTTAGCCCAGGCACAAAGTTTGTTTTTCAATAAACATGAGAAAATGAGACCGATAAAGGGAAAACAAGATCTAAAATCTGCAACTATAAAGGTCGGAGTTCTCATGGCACACGCTACTCCTTATTACACCACTTGATAACATTCAGGGAGTCCCCTTCAATCCAACATTTGTTACCACAATTCCTTGCAATAAGAATTTCAAACCACCTTCAAGTCACGCGCTAAGCTCTGCACAATTTGCAGTTGCAACACCTGCTGGAGGTGCAATCCAGATATTTTTCGACCTATTACTAATACAACCGAGACGAAAAAGGTTGTGTAAAGTTGCCATAACATCCACTTTAGAGATACCCCATCCCTCTTTTAAAACAAATAGCCATAACCAGATTGAAAATTTGATAACATGAATTAGTCTGTCAAAAGCCATAGAAGTCCCCCTCAAAGGACTTTATATTTCTTTCCTTCCAAACCTCCCACATGATTACGCCTTTAGCAATCCTCCAGATAATCTTACCCACCTTAGGTACATGAAGAAGGGAATATCCAAAATTTTCTGTTATTACATTCATACGCACATTTTTATAGTTCTTTTTAGATAAGCAATTACCAAAATTTCATATATCAAAGATCCGACATTTAGTAATGCCCACATTTTGTAAAATTTAGGATTAAAATTTCAAATATTGAAGATATGAATTTTAAAAAGTCAGAACTTTTCATAATTTTTTCTGCCTAGAAGTTCTGCATGTTGAAAATATGGAATTTCTATAAATTTGAAGTTTGGAAATCTGAATTTAAAGTTTTCAGATTTTCAAAATCCAAAATTTTTGCCTTTGAATTTTCATATTCCAAAATTTTGAGAATTTTGGATTCTAGAAATCTGAAATTACTTTTTTGCCCACAACGGGGTGTGTTTTACCTTTGGAGATCGAAGAACTTTTGGAATTTAAGAATTCCAAAATTCCGTAGGAATTTCGGATCTCGAAACTCTGATACTTGGGCATTTTAGGCAACAAATAAAAAACATAAAAGAAGTATAAATATAGATTTTATACTTCTTTTTTTTTTTTACAAAATTCGGTAATTCATTAAAAACAATTGTGAATTACATACATCAGCAAATTTACATCATGAGAGACTACAAAAAAATCTAAAGCCACTCTCCTCTTAGCCAATAATCTGATAAATCATTAGCTTCCATGTATACACGGGTACAAGATAAGTCAATAGTAAAAAATCAGCAGATCGACCAATTTAAGTTGGCATAAAAATCGTTATTTTTTCTTGTACTATTTAATAAAATTCAATGAATCCCCCTGACTACAATCTCGTCTAAAGCAGTGAAGAAAGTAGAGAAGAAAGCGCCGGAAAAAGCACTCTAAAAATTGGAAGCTAGTCCTCTCGACATCATTTTCGCTGGAAACGTGTAACCTCATCAGGAACCAACTTTTCTTTCGATTGTGATGTGTCTCTCTACAGCGACCCGGCATACAATCAGCGCAATGCAATTTTCTCTTAAATTCGCATCCCGACAACTATTGCGTATGGGTATCTAACTCCTAATAATGGAAAAATTAATAGTCTTTTTTTAACTAATTGTGTCGTCAATATCAATTAGTTGTCAATATCAATTAGTTAAAAAACGATTATTATGATGTGGTAATAAATTTTCCATTATTAGGGGTTAGATATCCATGCGCAATAGTTATCGGGATGTGAATTTAAGAGAAAATTGTAAAATCTTCATTGTCATTCTGCTATGTTAAAAATCATACATTTAGTGAAGCCATAAGAACCCATATATTTTCTTACTACTTCCAATTATATCCCTCTTATCTCTGTTTAGCTTTCTACTTGAACTAACTCGCATCTCTTAATAGGTATTGTACTAAGTCTATATCACACATGACCCTATTAAGCATTTTCTCTCATTTCTTGTCGCCTATTGGTACCATACCTAAATTTTTTCAAATGTACTCTTTTGGAATTCTATTTTTTCTTGTCTTGCCACTCATTCATCTCAATGTCTTTATCTCCGCTACACTCATTCTAAGCATATCGTTTTTTGGACCGCCCAATATTTCACCCCATAAAGTAAAATTGATCTCGCAGCTGTCTTATAAAACTTACCCTTCAGCTTCATTGATATACGACGACCACATAAAATATATGAAGAAATTTATCCAAATATTTATTATATATGATCTATTTAAGACTATTAATATTTTATTTTTATTTTCAAATATCTATATTAAATGACACATGATCATGAGTTGAAATAGAATTTTAAGACACTAACTTTCGCTATTGAACTTTTATAAAAATTTCAAATTTACCCTTGCATAATAGTAAAATTACTTATTAAAATAATTTTTTAAACAAAAAATAATCATTTTTTTTATATTGACACCTACCACAACCCCGTCTAACTTTAACCTTTATATTTTGAATGGTTGTTCAATCTAGACAAACCTTTTATATATATATATATATATATATATATATATATACGCGCGTAGACGCTACTAAATAAACTAACTAAACTAAACGTACCAACTAAATAAAATTAACTTACTAACGTAAGTAAGGTAAGGTTAGGTTTAGTACGTACG